CTCAAGAGTCAGATCTTCTCACAGTCTCTTTATCCATGCCCCAGGTGGACGTACTTCCAATGTCAAATCGATCAACTACATTTGTAAATACGTCAATAAGGGGACTGACCATGCCACGTTTGCTGTTAGTGACGAAACAGATGAAATCCAGAGGTACCAGAGTGGACGTTACATCTGCACATCTGAGGCAGTGTGGCGAATACTGTCTTTCCCTATACATGAGAGGTTCCCTGCTGTCTCACACCTAAAAGTCCACCTCCCAGACGAACAGTGAGTCTACTTTCAGCCAGACAATGTCAGGGAACAAATGGAGCATAGCACAACTCTTTTGGCATTCTTTGATCTCTGCCAGTCAGATGCTTTTGCCAGGACACTTCTTTACAATGAAGTACCTTTCTATTTTACGTACTCAAGACAAAGAAGTTAGGCCAGGAGACTGAGAGGACAACCAGTGGCAGGTCATCCCAATGTAAGGCAAGACTCATGCATCGGAAGAGTATACACCGTCCATCCTAGCTGCAGTGAGCGTTACCACCTTTGCCTGCTTCTACACTCTGTTTGAGGCCCTATCTCATTCAATGACCTAAAGACGGTCCGTGGTGAACTGCACCCTACTTTCCAGTCTGCTTGCCGGGACATTGGATTCTTGAAGGATGAAGCCTGTTGGGAGGAAACACTCAGGGAGGCTGCCGTTTCTGAGAGCCCTCGCAAGTTGAGAGATCTCTTCAGTGTCCTGGTGGTGTTCTGCAACTTGAGTAACCCCCTCAATCTCTGGATGAGGTTCAGAGTCTCCCTGTCTGAGGACTTTTTGAGAGCAGGTCAACAGGTGGACGTTAACACAATGTACGACAATGCTCCTAACCTGTATGATTTGTGCCTGACAAACATGCAGGAGATCATTACCCATATTGGTGGTCTGCAGTTAGACAATTACAACCTACCTGTGCTGGCCAGAGCTGTTCATTAGTTAAATATTGATTACATCAGGGAGACCAGCTACAACCATCCTGAACTTCTAAACTTTGTTGAGCAGAACTACTCGATGCTCACAGACGAACAGCGTCAAGTCTATGACCATGTTCTTTCTAACATCCACAGTCCAACAGATCACAAGATCTTTTTCCTTGACGCTCCTGGAGGAACTGGAAAGATGTACCTCATAAACCTGATTCTAGCACAGGTTAGAGGTGAGCATAAAATCGCTCTAGCTGTAGCTCCTTCAGGCATTGCAGCTACTCTACTACTTGGTGGGAGGACTGCTCATTCAATGTTTAAGATACTCATCAATGTCGACCATATTGAGTTCCCAGTCTGCTCCATTTCAAGGAACGCCCCAATGGCCCAAGTGATCCGAGAATGCTCACTCATAGTGTGGGACGAATGCACCATGACCCACAAACTGAGTATTGAGGCATTACCGCACCTTAAAGGACATAAGAAACAACAACAAGACTATGGGGGGAGTCACGGTGTTGTTCTCTGGAGATTTCAGACAGACTCTGCCCGTTGTGGTGCGTGGGATGCGGGTGGACGAGATCAATGCCTCTCTAAAAAGATCTTTTATGTGGTCGACCATTGAGCGTCTCTCCTTAACAGTAAATATGAGAGTTCGTTTTGGGGAAGAACAAGGGGTTGAGGAGTTTTCTGAGGTCCTTTTGAAAGTTGGGGACAGGACATTGGAAAACACCGATGGTCCTTCACTCCTTCACTCAACACAATCGTCGAATCACAGGAACAACTGATCGACAGTGTTTTCCCCGGAGTTTATGAACTGCTCAACTTGGAAAGTGCCTGGCTCTGTGATCATGCCATCCTCACGCCCACCAATGAACAAGCAACAAAGATCAACAAGAAGGTGATGTCTCTCTTCCAGAGCGAGGAACGAATGTATAAATCTGTTAACACATTTCTTAACCAGGACGCCGCCGTTCACTACCTGGCAAAGTTCCTCGACTCAGTAACAGCACCCGGATTACCTGCCCACGAGCTCACGCTTAAGGTCGGAGCTCCAATAATGCTCCTCCACAGCTTACACGTTCCCAAGTTGTGCAACGGAATGCGGCTTCGGGTTCGTAGTCTGCAAAGGTACGTCATCGAGGCAGACATCCTCACTGGCTGTGGTGCTGGAGAGTCAGTCTTCATACCGCGCATCCCCTTGACCCCAAGCAACTACCCGTTTTTTTTTATTGTACATTATTATAACAATTAAATATAAGTTAACAAAAGATACTGTGGACCATGTGTTAACTGCGTCATTTAGAAAAAACGGAAAATGTCAAATTGTGATGAGTTGTACTTGTGTGTTTGTAGTGTATCACACATCTGTGAAAAAATTAGTTTTATTTACCGAAGAGCCTCTTGATAGACGACATTGGAAGTACGTCCACCTGGGGCATGGATAAATAGGCTGCGAGAAGATCTGACTCTTGAACAGGCTACATATAGCTGCCCGTGTGAAAAGCAGTCAGATCCACTGAGCTCTACCCCGGCAGCGGACAATGTCTGGCCCTGTGACTTGTTGATAGTCATCGCAAAGCAGACGCTGACCGGGAACTGCAGCTGCTTGAATTCTGTAAAATGTAATGTAAATAATGTACAAGTAATTTGTTTGTTAATTGTTAAATTAATGCATTATTTATACACACAACCCGTACAAAGGACGGGTACACAGCTAGTTCATACAGTAAAGTAGAATCAAATAGAAACCTACCTAACTAAAGATATCATTTCAGATAGATGACTATCCATGTTCACCATAATAAACTATCAAAAATAGCTAACCTAAGTAATGATATCACGTCAAATGGATGTCTATCGCCATTCCGCCGAAAAAAGACAGACCTTAGTGAAGATAGTATCTTAGACAGATGACCACTCACATTCAGCCGTGCATAGAGTCAAACAACGATCTACCTATAAATGTCGGATCGATTACTATTCACATTTAGCTGAACATACAGTCAAACAAAAACAGACCTAAGTAACGATACCTTGTAAGATAGATGACATAATAATTCCTTCAGCCGAAAATAGAGTGCAACAGACAGATCTTACAGCCGAAAGTACATTAAAACAACGACCGACTTATAAACATTTCACCCCAGATAAATGACTATCGAACTTCAGAGTAACATAGAGTCAAACAAATACTGACCTATGTCTATATCACGTCAGATAAATTACTATCCCTATTAAGCAAAAGCCCGGCATGGCCAGATGGTTAGGGCGCTCGACTCGCAATCTGCGGGTCGCTGGTTCGAATTCCCGTTACACCAAACATGCTCGCCCTTTCAGCCGTGGGGGCGTTATAATGTGACGGTCAATCCCACTATTCGTTGGTAAAAG